CGGTGCAATCACCATCCTGCAGCCGAGCCCAGGGCAGGACAGGGCTCCCCACATCGGTGTACCAGCTCCTGCCCGTGAAGATGCTGTCCTGGAGATGAGGCAGTGACGGGGGTCCAGAGCCACCAAGACGCCTGTGCCCCCTCCCTCTCCCCACAGTAAAGAAACGGCGAAGCTGAAGCGGAGTCCTGTGACCAGGCTGCAGCGCGGCCCCAGCCCCGCAGCCCTCCGGGGAGATGGGACGCTCGGGCTGCCGGGGGCACAGCCGCCTCGCAGGGCCAGCGGAGGCTGTCTCTTGGTGGAGGAGACCTTCTTCTTCCTGGCGGCCAGCATCTCGTAAAAAGGGTCCCGGCTGATCGCCGCCCTGGCAGGGGAACGAGGGCTCTGGTTGGCCTCGCGGCCAGGCGAAAGCTGCTGTAGGGTCGGGGCTGACCCTCCTGGCAGGGCCTCGGGCAGGTCCCGTTGTGGCCCCGGCAAAGCTCGCTCCCCCCAGACCTTGCGGAGTGCCCCGGGAAGCTCTGCCCCGGCTCAAGCACAGCAGACAGGTCCCTGCTGCACCCCTGCCCAGCGCTGTGCCCTCCGCTCCTCCCAGCACTCACTTGATGCACTTGATCCACTCCTCCTTCTCCTCGGGCGTGGGGGCGGAGATGCGGTACACGGTGTGGTTCCCCTCCACCACGCGCCCATCCGCCTCCGTCTTGCAGGCCTTGATCACCTGGTCCTTGTTGTCGGGGATGTAGAGCTCAAAGCAGTTCTGGGAGGGAGGAGATGGTTCAGAGGCAGCCCCCACCTCCAAAGGGGACCCCGGGCTGGGAGGGACATGGCAGAGCACCGGGGCTGCAGGTGCTCCCCTGGAACAGCCACCCCAACGCAGCAGACGCTGTGACTGTCACCCCACGGTCCCCAGATGTGCCACCCTGGCACCACCCCTGGACGCTGTAGTGACCGGCCCCGGGTCTGCACCCAGGTGGAGGCAGTGACCGCTGTGGGACCCTCCTGCCTCTCCCAGGAACACCCCTTGGGGGGCTGCAGCACACCCCGGCTTTCCCTGCCCCGAGCAAAGTACCAGGGCTGCCCCCTCGCCCCCCGGCCCTGGGGAACCCCGCTGCGGCACTCACGGGCTTCTTTGAGTCCTCCACCTCACGGATGCTCAGGTTCTCCAGGGGGATGATGCCACGGGGCTCTTTATCCTGGTGGCACCAAGCAGAGGCTTTAGCTGGAGGCTGGACGCCGCCAGACCCCCCTGCGTGCCCCAGGCAGGGCTGGATGCCGCAGACACCCCTCTCCCCAACACCCCTCTGCACAGGCTGCCCG